AATTGGCACTTCAAATCTGCGCTTGCAAAATCCCAAAGCGTGTCTTAGCATTTTCACTTTCCCTCTGGGCATATTGGTGTTTAACACAAATGTGCACTCTAGTTTTAATCACTTTATGGCTTTCGTTTGTTTCTGATGGTTCCGAGTAGTATTGAGTCTAGTTCTAAACCTGGTTAGGAGCCTGATTCCGACTCGTTGAGTCTGTATCTGAACCTGGTCCCGAGCCTGGCCCTGTGTCTGTGCTCTGTGGACTTCAGTTTTGGCCTGCTCTGCTCCTTTGCACGAGACATTCTGACTGATAACAGCTTTGGTTTGCAGACAAACTCACCAGACACCCCCCGTCGACTCATGCAGAGGAGCAATCGGGGAATGCATACGAGACACTTGCCTCTTCGCATCACGGAACGAGGTCTCAATCGAAGGACCTTCAATTGAGATGAACGCTGGAAAGCTTGCCTTCACATACACAGATACTCATGCATGGAACGACAGACCTGCTCCCATCTGCAATGCAGTGAGGTGCAAATGTTTTATTGCCAAGTTAGCCAAATTATCTGTATCAGACATACATCTTGACTTAAAGCTTGCATGACTGCAGAAATTTCAGAGTTTTAAATACTGTAGTCATCTACGTTGTGTCGTGTTATTTGTGATTCTGTTGTTTCATTTTTCACACCGTGAAAATTAGAGATTTAATCACACAACATTTATTTTTTCTGGTAAATGAGTTTCAAAATAAATCATATATATTGATGGAAAGTATATGCTGAGAGAGTGTGTATTCACATAAAGAATGGCCATTGCCTGAAACGTTGCCGATTCCATAGTTAAATTTTTGAGGCCACAGTGTTGTTGTTGAACATGTTGAGTTGTTGGTATTCATGTCGTCATGGCTGTCAGTGTCAATATGATTAAAACCTCAAAGGTCAGACTTACTAATGCTGCTAACACCACCGCATTGTAATTCCAGCGATAATCACATTAAGCCCCCCACACTCTTTTTCAAGAGGGCACTGCATTGGGTTGTTCGGCTAATTCTATTCATTAAATGCGTGGCTACACGTGGGGGGGGGGGGGGGGGGGAAACCGGAACACTCGGAGAAATCTCTCGCACACAAGGGCATCACACAGATAGATTCATTATTCCACAATGTACTGCCATCTCCTGGTCACATTGTAGTAGGGATGTTTAGTTATATAACCTAACCGGTAATGGATATCCATTGTAATTTAGATGCCTACACTAGCCCCCCCCCACCCTCTTTGGCCTTCGCACCTAATTGGCTCAGAGGTGACGACATCACATTTATCCCTCTGTTTAAGAATGAAAGAGGAGGATTTGTCCACAAATGTGGCTGTCGCCTGATGATGCTGGTTGTAATTTCTGCCAAAACGCCATACTGGAAATGTAAATGTTGTGGGTTTACTCTCCAACACAATGGTGTTCTGGCATGTTCTGTTTATGTGACAAACCTTACTAGTCGAGTGTGTCGGGTGGTGGTGGATTTAACGACACATTAATATTTCTGTAATCTACCCCAAAAAAACCTCTATTATGGATATTGGTCATGAGAGCCTACGTGTTAAAACATTTTATTTATAAAAAGATGCAAAACCTCACACAATTACACTCGTTGGAAATAGCCATCTGAACAACGTTAAAAGCATATGCTGAGGTATGGTTGTGAAAAAGTTAAATTACGACTCTTTATCAATCCCCTGCTGGATGGAGGTCTCATACTTCATCCCCTGCTGGATGGAGGTCCCATACTTCATCGCGCTAGCTGGCAAAATAGCGAGATCAATGTCCCATTCAGACATCGCTTGCAACTTATGTTAGCCATGCCTGGCTGGGAATCAAACTCAGATCGCTTGTATTCAGATCGCTTGGTTCATAGGGCAGTGTGTTGACCATCTGCGTCGCCATTCCATGCCTTGTGCAAAATATGGCTTAAAAATAGATATTATTTTATTACTTCCCTTCTACGTGACTTTACCGAAAGAACCAAGAAGATGAATAGATAATCACTCAATAATTTTCACAAACTCAAAAGAAGATTCACTTTTGCAGCAGTCAGCAGAAACGCGTGCTCAAACGCATCGCACACCGTCAAACACATTTGAAGAATCCGCCGTGCGGAATCGGTTGCATTTCCAAATTGTGCATTTTACGATGTTCCAGGAAGCATCAGCTTTCACTCAATGTCATGTTAAGCAAGTGGGAAAGAGCACACGAACAAATAGCCCGAGTTAAGCGACAAAGTCACACGCTGTACCACGCATCCCATAACGAGTTAATTGCAGATGGTCACAGACTGCAGGGAAATCATGGGCCAGATGCAGTGGCGTGCGTCGGCTTGGCGCTGGAGTGAAATCTCATGGGTGGCTCGCGAGGGCCAATTCCAGCAATGAAAAAAATGTTTAGGTAATAAAAGCCACCAGAAACATCTAAGTGGATGTCAAAGTGCTTCCCGCAAGCAGCTGCTGCTGTTATTCTTTCACTCGGGCTCATGAACCTGTCTCATTTGTCACGTGAAATTTTCGGCTGCCGAGAGCAGGCAACAGCCGATAAACGGCCCATTGTTTGAAAATATAAAAACTGACAGCACTTGACATCTAGCACATGCTTCTTGGTCAGAACTTTTGAAACATTTCCATTACCAACAATGTCCTGTGCTGATAAGGGCACTTGCCCTTAACGCTGATAAGTGGACTCAATGATTTCTTGTGGAAGAAATGTGCACAGGATATGGGGTCTAGACCAGGGACGTGTGGTCAGGGGAGGCAGGGGAGGCAGAGCCTCACCTGTCATACTCCAATGAAAACAGCTGTTACGAAAACTATAAAAAAAGAACAATCAAATTAAATAAATATTAAGATTTTTCAACTGATCTGTGTTATAAATGTCATTTCTGTACGATTCCAGTAATTTTTATAGTCAAAATCGCCAAATTTGCGGAGTTTCTGCTGCAAATACAGGAAGAGACGAGAGGTGAGGCAGCGACGAGCTCAGCCTCCCCTCTGATTGCGCAACCCCTCAGTAACTGGATGGAGCGCGGGCAATAAGCGCGTGCCTGTTACTATCTCAGTATGTCACCAACGTAATGTCTGTAGACCCCTTCATTTCATGTCCTCTCCTTCCATACTCCAGGTAACTTATTTCACGTATGTGTATAAAGATATTTAGGCTCGCTGGTCTCGTCATGAAACTGCAATGAAACAGCACCAGGGGAGGCAGCTATTACATCTGCCTCACTGAGGGGGACGTGTCTAACACGCCCCCCTCGGCGAGGCCACGCCCCCTCGGCGAGGCCACGCCCCCTCCGTGTGTGAATCTGGCTCTGACACGAGCCAGTGCCTCCCCAGCCATTGACCTCACCACACGTCACTGGTCTAGACCATCTCCCTCTGATTAAACACCAGCAAACGCCCCTCAAGTCCACTCTGCAGCCAAGCGACATGCACAGCAATTATGTAGAATATATTGAATTGCCAAATTGGAGGGTGTCAAAGCACCACCAAGAAGTTTACATTTCCTGTTGATGTTTGTGATGTCGGCGAATGGCAATGAATACGCTTTGTATATATACGCTGCTTTCAATATTTTAAATGTGCATAAATATAATCTTGTCAATCTGGAGATCTCGCTCCGAGTCGTGAGCAGGCGTGTGCATCCATGGTATCTCGGCATGGATGTATACGTGCGTGCGTGCGTGTTTCCATGGGAAAATGATTTCCAGAGCAAAGCCAGTGATGGGTTATCACTAAAATACACGCTGCCATGCACACCGCCGCACACACTACCTCGTGGCAGTTTCACCACAGACGAGGCGGCAGCTCTGGCAAGAGTCAAGTTGTACGACAGCAACCTCAACATCTGTTGCTTGTAAAGCTGACGCTCACCCTACTAAATATAAACGACTTGTAAAGAATTTCACTCACGGCTTCATGCAATTTTAAAAGTGTATTTTAAATTGGGTGAATACACAGAATAGTCTTGTGCTGTGAAGTATCTGTTCAAAATTGGAATGTCTGATCATTGCATTATTGACGATAACTGTTAACAAAAAATCTTAGATATAAATCAAGGGCCTGGATTGTGGTTTATATGCATAAACCAAAGGTAGTGAGTTATTTGTGCTTAGGTTTGAAGACATTTAATATGAACAGAAAAACACCGATTCCAATTACACGTGCGATTAGCTGAGAATTATTGATTAATTGATTCGTCATTATTATTCACTTGATATGTTCTCATGATAAGTGGCAAAAGTTATTTCCACTGTTTTAAATTGAACGCATTAATGTTCCTGGAAATCACCTTTTTTGTTTGTTACACCGATAAAATCTGTCTCCCGGAGGTGACGCGCTGATATTCGAGTTGTGAATCGTGCGGTATGAATCAAGACGGCAGTGGCGGTGTCAGTAATGCTGTACACACGACAGCAACGAAGACGTTCGAGTCTACACGTCGAGCACGTGTACGTTTAAAAATCCTCTCGCACAAACAAAATAAAAAGTCGCTTGATACGCCAGACTTCCAGACGGAAAAAAACCAGAGAGGGCAGGAGTCAAAAACCCCCACTTTTTGCCCGATCTATTTTACTCAACCCCACATTTGATCTGCAAAGTGGCAACAATTGGAGCTTACGTATGTGTACAGGGGGCCATACACACATAATGTGAAACACATGGACAACATACAATTCTCAACACGTGGTCTTTCACCTTGTCTGATGATGGCCAGAAGCGAACATTTATTAAGCAAAATTGCCCGTCTGAGAAACCCAAGCCAGCCAGTCAAGCAGCAACAAGTACAAGGCCTGCATTGTAATTGATCTTTTGTCGAGCGGAGCTTCCTGGCGTGGGGGGCATGGGGGGCGTGGGGGGGGTGGTGGTGGCGCGGCGAGTGGAGTGGTGGAGTGGGTGGCACAGGGCTCTGGGGGGAGCAGGGGGCTGTGGGTTGGCGCGGCGTTCGTAATCTTCAGAGGCGTTGTTACCTCGAGGCTCTGCAGGCGTTCCAAGAGGGCACGGATCTTCTTCCTCTCCTCCTCGAAGCCGGCGTCGCCCACCACGCCGCTCGCCTGCAGCTCCGGGATGACGGCGTCGGCGCTCCGCGGAGGCGGCGTGTAATCCGGGCCCGAAATCACGTCCTGATGGGCAGCGGGTGTCAGGGTTATCTCGGCAAGTCGTAGCTGGTGCGGAGTGTAAACACAGCAATGTGGTGCTGGCCAGCCACCTCGACGTGCGCCGAGCCGGCCTTAATAGGCGCTCGCTAACAGGCACTTGTACCATCAGCTGGTATGAGGCTATACGGAAGTCTTTGTACGGTACAATATTTTATCTGCTCTGCGGCATCATGCGACAAAGTTAATTGTTTACAGTGCCAAAGTCTTTTCCGTTTGTTGTCTGCCAACTGTTCCGTTAAGATTTCATTCAAGTGGAATCCTACAGTTGAGATCACATTTACTTCATCTTTACTTGATCAGCCTCCTTGCACCAAGTGTAAGCAAGTAAATTACACCTGAGTCATAACGCACACACGCACACACACGCGCTGCGTAAATTGTGCCTTGCGTTATTTTATTTGACCACGTAAGGCCCACTGAGCTATATAGCTCAGAAACAACCTGGCCACAAATGAGAGCTCATCGACGTGGCTTGGCACGTGGACATTTATAGCAGCCAAATACTCTTGAATGTACGTTTCTAAACGAGGACCAGGAGAAAAATCCACACGATCACGAGGAGAATGTGCAAACTCCAAATGCACAACAGGCGTCAGGGTGGGAATCGAAAACACGACCTCCTCCTGCATAACAGGCGAGGCAGTTAACATCTCCTAGCCACCGTGGCACTCTATTCCTGTGCCCCCGAGAGAATAGTCGAGTATAAACCCCACCACATTTAAAACAGCCATGCCACAAACGCTCAATAGGATGAACGTGCATTAATGTTGACATAATAGTGTTTTAAGCCTCTTTTTAAAATTCATATCTGCCAATTTCCTTAAAAATCAGGCCCGTACAAGGTGCCAGGAAGAAGGCAACGTGATAGGGTCTTAACAGAACGTTAGTTTTCTTTCTTCTGGATTACCAGCAGTAAAATATAACTACGCTGACAGGCTCAAGCCAAAACACAAGACTGCGCAACTTTGGTTCTCTGAGAAATGCGTTCATCCTTTGTTGGATTGGCGTCACAGTGCCAGACCCTTGTAAAAAGGGCACAGCACAAAACATAATGTACATGTACAAAGGCGACGTTCGCCAGTAAGCTGTTGACAGAGTACTTTGAGGCCGGATTTTGTCAGATCTCAAAAGCTAAGCAGGGTCAGCGCTCCAATTGGTGACGGGCGATCATAGAGGCAAAATTACCGGGTCTTTGAGCAGAGTGCTGTCCATTATTCTGGAACGAGTCTGTGGGAGGCATTCCCCTTGTCCAGTTCAATTGTTCAACCTATGCCCTTGCACGACAGGGTGCTGAAAGAGAAACTATTTAAAGAATCGGTGGTCCAATCTACCCGACAGGCATGAAATCAGCAGTGACATCCTTTGATATTTCACACAGTGAGAATGTTAACCCCCGACATCCTCGATAAAATTCAACTCACAACCGAATGAAAACGTTTGGCCTGGCTACGTATGCAGGGAACAGGGGAGTGGGGGGCGCCAATTCAAATTACAAGACCGAACATTAAAACATGTTTATCGACGTAGTTGTTAAACGGCACAGAATAAACGGCAAACTCGTCAACTAAGGGACACTGTGTTGGGTAGCGGACGGTCCCCGGCGTGTCCGGACTCGGGGCCGGGTTAAAAGAGAAAGCTCTTGCTCAGCAGGGCACGGCCTGGCGAGGAGACGGAACACGCCGGAGGCTTCAACGAACGAGGCCACAGCGCGAGCGGATCCTTCGCCGCGCATCCGACGCCGCTTATTTACGGAGGGCTGGGCGAGAATTGATGCGCTGCTCCTTAAGTCATGAGGCGACACACGTGGCTGAAAACAGCCGAGCGATTCTGGACAAGCGGAAAAGCGATCAGATAGCGAACTGGACAGCGGGGGGATTGAGTGGCACACGTGGCGTGTGCACACGCACAATCGGACGCACGCACAATCGGACGCACGCACGTGCACACGCACAATCGGACGCACGCACAATCGGACGCACGCACGTGCACACGCACAATCGGACGCACGCACAATCGGACGCACGCGTGTGCACACGCACAATCGGACGCACGCACGTACGGACTCGTTCGCTCGCACGCTCGACGGTGCCCGCGACACGCCGACTCATTCCCGAGTGCCACTGACGGATTGCACAGAGATCACTCCCTGGTGACGACGCACGCGTGCGGACAGGCGGAGGAGCATCGACGAAGCGTTTACATCTCACGAAAGGAAAAACCGCGAGCATTATGAAGGGATAAGAGATATTTCGCTCCACGATAATCGTATACAGATGCACACATCTCTCACCTGCGGGGCCCCCAACAGACCCGCGTACCGCCCTTCCCCCCGCCGTCACCTGCCCCCCACCTTACACCCACCCACCCACCCCCCTCTGGCACCCCCCCCCCCCCCCCCCCATTGTTTGATGGATAGAAGCAGGCACGGTCGTATTAAATATGCATGCAACAACTGAGCGTTCCGAGGACCCTTCCATAGCACCCATCAAGAAGGTCATCATCCATGGTGATTCACCATAAAGCCAGTTACGCTTTAACACGCTTAGCAATTTACATTCTAATTAATATCTCTCTCCTGGAGAGTGCATAGGATTTGCAATTTATATTGCTTGCAAGCACACACACACACACAAGCATAGACGTGCCCAACGCACGCACACGAGTGCACCCCCACACACACACTCACCTAATGACAAACGTGGTAGAAACGTTGATATGTTCTTAGGGTTTCAGTGGGAAATGTTAAGATGCATTGCTTCTCCATACCAGAATCTATTGCTTGCAAAACACACAGCGCGTGGATTTTTTCACATTCCTCACTTTCACATTGCTTCACAGTAAAACAACAATGACGTGCGGTCCTTTGTCCCACAATGTTGGCCACGGGGTTGAGTGGCCACACCTCACCCCAGGGGGCACTGCGGGTTCGGGGTTTGTGAAGGGAACGCTTTGCCCAGGGCAGTTCGGAGACCACGGCGGAGCTTAAACCTCGCCTGAAGACACATTTATTCTCCCTCGATTTCACCTCTCTCAATTATCTCCAATACTTCTGAGTGTGTCATCGCCTTAGCCAACAAACTATTTATTTATTTGTGACGTGCAGTGCCTTGAGCACCTTCTAGAAAGGTGCTATATAAATGTATTATTTTGATTTGAAGCTTTCGTGACTGCAGGAATCCATACTCTTTGGTTCTTTTGGTAAAGTCACGTAGGTAGAAAATAAAATAAATCACGACGTTTTGGGCGCAACACAAGCGTCCATCATCAGGTGGGAAAGCATGGTCTGTTGCTGAGCCAGACTGTTTAAAAACACTGTTTTATTTTATTTTATACCTACGTGACTTTACCGAAAGAACCAAAGAGTATAAATATATTATTATTATTACTAGGGGTGGATTGGTTCAGAAATCACTCACCGCCGATGATGGCCATGGCTGGTACTCGAACTCAGTCCACCGAGTTTAGAATACAGTGAGAAACCACCTCACAATTGCACCCCTTCGTTGCTTAAAAGAAAGTAAAAATAATCTTAAATAGTTTTACAAATAAACTCATGCGCAGGATCATTAAAAATGGCGACAGCTTGAGAAGGTGGCCTGCATCCAGCAGTATACTGATCATGGCTGATGCTGTCAACTAAATATTTCTGCCGGCGCCATACGTTGGCACATTGAGGCGTTAGCACCTAAACGAGGCGAAGCTAGTTATGGGTTCCAGATACAGCGCTCAGAATTGCGTGCAGCTTGCAGCCAGGCCTAGAAAGTGCCGTGGGAGCAGCATGCAAATAACTCGGAGGGTAATTGAGTCATCCGTCTTCCTGACTCCCGACTCCCATTGCACAATCGCTCAGGAGCAGTGTCGCACGCCCCCTGCCTCCGTGCTAAACGTGGGCCACGGGAGCGGCATCGGAGTCGGTGCCTTGAAGCACCGATCGCCGGTGCGTCCGTGTGAAACTGAACAAAGAACCCAATTGCAGGATGTGTTCGTAATCAATAAACAAAGTCGACAGTAAATCCCAAAAAAATGTTACATTAATCAAAAGTGGTGCACATGTACAATAAAAGACGATCTCTCGTGAAATAACCGAAAATATTAAGAGCGCTCGTCCAAATGCCCGCGTGGCAGAGAGGATTTGCATGAAGAGCGGCAGCGAGTGGCGCTGGTCCTCCAGTACTGGGGAAGATCGGCCGAAGGCCTCGCAGGATCGGCACCGATTACAGCGAGGGATGGTGCTGCGGCCGTTCGCGGTGACGGGTTCCGCACGTCTGTGCCGAGCTACCAACTGTTACGCCTGCGCGGGCACCGCCACCACTGCAGATTGATTCCCTGCACCCGGTGTGGGTCTGGAGCCCCAGAGGCACGCAAGAAATTAAGATTTAAATATTGATGCGTGCAGGTGGCACGGAGTCCTAAATTATTGAGGAGTGCAGAGTTCGCAGGGCCATTAACTGCCCTGCCAAATAATAATGCACGCTCCTAATGAAGCTTGAGCTTTCTTTAAGCTTGGTCAATGCATCACATCTCGTTTCTTGGCTGCCCCATCGCGTGTCTTTATTTGTGCCCACGTTCAGCGCCGTGGAGAGGGCCCGAAGTGACGAAGCGAGTCCCACGCTAGCAAGGAATAATGGGCTGGCCAGGATTTTTTTTTAGCTCAGCAAAGTCTGGTACTTGCGATCACATTAATTTTAATAAACAACTCCTTAATGATCGAACGTGTTAATTAATTAATCTCACGAAGTTTCGAATGTAATTGGTAAATTAATCATTTGATTTAAATTGAAGAATGGCTTGAACACTGATCGTGCTTGTTTGAAGGCTCGATCTGGGTGTGGGAAAAGTTTCACTTACGCCCACTGCCTAATGCGGTAAGTCTAGCCGCGTGATTCATATCACAACCCTGCATGCATTTTACTTCCAACATACTTAGGCTCCATGATCCGTCTGTATCCAAACGACATGCCCACGTGAAGTTAAATATAACCCTCGCATTGATCCATTTGCTCAATAATTTGTTTGTTATTCATTTATTTCAATTACCCTGGCAGTGATTAACAATATTGCGTGTCGTGCTTGCTTGTGTTTTCAGCACAGGGTTAGGAAGCATTACTGATTGGATGAGACAGTAAATATGTGTCTCATAAAAATGACGGAGCACAGTAAATAACCAGGGGCCAAGGAAAAATGCCGTGCATTCAATTATTAAATTACTTTCTTTTACCACTCGTGACATGAGCTGTCTGGGCAGGGCTGCAGTGACCCATTTTGTTAATCAAAGTACTGCTCAATCCATCCCATGTAATAATAATTAGTTAAATCCATAGTACAATGCATTTGCTTGAATTAGAATTCTTAAACCAATGACACTTTATTCTCTAATACTGATTGAATTTAAGCAGATAAGATAATATGCATAAAAGGCAATATCAATTTATGACGTAATTCAAGAAATAATGATAATAAGTAGGTGAGCTAGTGGCTCAGGAGACAGAGGCACTCTCTGAAGATCCTGGATTCAAATCCCAGTGTCAGCTGCCAGAGATTAAACCGGGTTCTCACACGTAGTGAGTTGATGGTCTTAGCCTAGTCACCAATGACTGCACCAAACAAAACCCATCATATTAAGTTTGGTTTTCACTTAATTTAGGCTTATTCCAGATAATAACAACATTAATAAATTGATCCATCCGCAGCGAATACTGTTTCGAGTGTGGACAAAGATGCCAACTGAAGCGCCCTCTTCCATGCCTGTTCTCTGACACAGAGTGGTCCACTCCTTGCGGCAAAATCTTCCTAATTGAAATGCCTTCATCTCATGGCATGTCCGCTGACAATAGACAAATGGATTATAATTTAAAAATAATAATTCTTACTAAAAACCCATCTCCTCCTGACCGAGTTTGTGTTTACAGGGGCATGACCACCTGCTGCCACGGGGGACCAGGAAATAATTGTAGAATGAAATGTTTCTGCGAATTTTACCACTGGGGAACAAAACAAATGACAGCTACTTCTTGTCCTGCAGCTACTCATGAATTCATCCCAGCGCACACTTGGCAAAGCCCTTATAATTATATTGATGGCGCATATATCCATTCAAGATGATAAATCAGCGTGGAATGTGACAGTGAATGCTACTCTCAGCGTGGTAACAAACACACCGGAGCTCGTGGCAAGCGCCAACCACCACCTTTCATCAATTTTAGCTCTTTCCAGGCAGTGTTGACACTCGCTTTCTCCGAGCCACTGCTGCATGCATGCATGTGTGCGTGGATGTGTGCGTGCATGCGCCTGCATGTCTGTGGAGAACGGGAGTGTAGTGGTTAGCGCCATGCTGTGCGATGAACCCAGCGACCCGCGGTTCCATTCCTGCTCACGGCCAACACCAGTGACGATTATCTGAATCCATCCTGGGCCTCCCCTAAGTCGACTCTACCTCAAATGAGTATTATACCTGATGCGATATGTAAACATCGCCACTGGGGAGACAAAGGTGGACGGGCGTGGTACTGGCCACCCACCCTCTCGTTTACCGTGCTAGCCATCATAGGCGCTCGTGAACAACACTTGCTCCAATGGTCTGTTAAGGCTACACGGGGAATATGCGTCTTCTTTCTGTACATTCATGGAGAAGGATCGTGAAGGACGCTACTGGGCAGTTGGAGGCAGTCGCCCTCTAGTAACAACGGAGGGCAGAGGAGGGACGCTCACAACAACGAGCAGGTGGCTAAAACACAGTGGGGAGAATAGGAGCTGCCTATGCCAGTCATCTAATTCGGTTAACCCATAACACCTCGGGGACCCTCCCATGATTCCTGCCCAGCGAGCCTTCGAAACTTCAAGTGATAGCCTCAAAGTGCACAAAGTGCTGTAATGGCATCACCGTCATCTAGTGGTGAATGACAGCTGCTGCTCTTATTATTATTCTTGTGTCAATGTGAACAAAGAGTGGGCACGCTGTACCTGGGCAGAAGAGCCATTGGCCGTTGCCTTGCCGGCCGGTGGGTTCACGCGACTCTGCCCACGCATCAAATCCTGGACCGTTTCTTCCATCCTGTGCCAGACAATGCAGTGCAAACACGCACACACACAGACACACAGACAAACCCCGTGAAATGTTGGCTTGTGTAGACTGCAGAGGATCGCGCTGTCAGAGAGCACCTATTATGCCTTGCGGAACACATGGGGAGCAGATGTCTCGCTGGCAAGCGTTTGCAGTTCACAACTTTGTCTCGCAACCACTGGGATTGCTACATTACACAATTTACTTTAGGCTGAGTCAACCCAGAGGGTAACCATGCTGGACGCATAAATGCGGAATGATGTGCTGGTCACAATTCGTAATCATTTCCACAAAAGGCAGGCTAAAAACTAAACACATATCTCAAGAGTAGTTATGGAAACAAAGTTAATATCTTACGTGATTATTTATTTATTTACAGGACAATTTCTTTTAAATGAAAAACTAACCAAAAAATTTAGAAAGTTAAGAATATATACAGAAAGCTTTGGATTCTTAAACTTCCTTATAAGATGAAATTCTAAAACATCTATTTAAAGCATTCTATATAGACGCCACAATTTACAGTTAAAATAAAGACAAAGATATTCAGTCAAACGGGCATACTCCTCTCCTGTTTACTTCACAGTTTTAGTGATGGAAATTCTACATTCCTATGGTGGGACAAGTCCATCCACAGAACGACCTATGAATAAATAAAAACTGCGAGAGAGTGACGAGTTGAGGAGCCCAGCAGCGGTGCCAGCCTGCATTCACGTGCACTGCCACCATCCATCCTACTGGGCACGCTGTGACCCACTCGTCGAATAAAATCGATTCTTCCACCACTCATGACGCACACACATTGAGCCGTGTGCGAGAACTGCTTGTTGTTGTTGTTGTTTAGTTTGTTGTCCTTCCCCCGCAGCTCTGATTTAGCACGGTTGGCTACGCACGGTACCAAAGAAGCTCAACACACACATATACATACGTGCACGTTGCGGGGGGGGGGGGGGGTTGGATCGGTGCCACCACCGCACCACAGCGCGTGGGACCACACTCAGGAACAACGAGCGCACAGCTTCACCTGCACCCCCTTAACATCACAAGGCTCTGCGGAGTGCCTGCAGATGGAGCGAAAGGCGCAACGTAAATGTTTATGGGTTTCGTGGAAAGCAAAAAAACACCCAACACAAACTATCCTCTCCCTCCCCTGCCCGTCAATCCTCAGCTACTTTGTGTGGAGGGCGGTAGTGGTAGTAGTAATAATAACAAATAAATAAAACGGGTCTGGCTTTGGCGCGGGGTGGAAAAGGTTGCGAGGTGCGTCCACTGGTGCCGGCCGGCAGTCGTCGAGACACGGCGGGCTCGGGGTCATTTGCTAATTTGGTCATTTGATCGGCCGTGTTGCTCAGTTCACGATTGCCGGAATGCCGCGCGGAACGCGGCTCTCTGACACCTGCGGTCGGCTCTTCTCTCCAGGGTCGTTTATCGGTAAGCGTTGGGGAGGAGGGAGGCGGCGGGATAGATGGGGGTTGAGTCAGAGCGCACGAGCGAGCGTGAACCGGGGGGTTGGGGCGTTGACGGGGCGAGCCAGACCGTAACGTACACCCCCGCGATATTAAAGGTGTCTGGGGGTGGCTCCGTGCGTGCGTTAGAAGAACCGTGATTTTGACAGCAGTGTGCGAGCGCTCGTACGGCGGAGGCAGATTCAGAGTTCGCGCACCAGAAGCGACAGCATCAGTGCGTCTGCGTTGTGCCTCTGCTGCCCTCAGTTGAGCACGTGAGGATATTACATCTCGTGGACGAAACCGCTTAAATATCACAGGATAACTCGAGCTGGTGCCGACATCAACCCGATTTACAAAGACTACAATTTCTGAACAATATATTGTGATCATTGCCATCATTTGCATTATTACATGTGCACATAATTGTCATTTAATAATTGTATAACAGAGATTGTCGGACACATGGTTTTGATGTCTGTAATTGCAGTTTAACACGTAGGCTTTACAGTTTAGCATAGTTTTCCTTCGTACCCTCAAACTCTGAGTAACATGTTCACAAAACTAAACCTGGGATGACACATTACCCGGTATAATTTGGAGTATATTTAACAATGAGGATGTTACATTGTTGTCTTAATAATGTAGTCCGGGGGAGGCCTTCGTCCGGCAGTGGAATGAAATGTCGCATACTTATTTATTACTGAAGTGATGATTAAATTGTTGGTGAACTCTCCCCATCACCTCCAAAACACACCCGCAGCATTGGGCTGGGCGCAGCAGCCCCCCCCCCCCCCATAGCCCTAAGAGGCCCGAACTGGCGTGTCACTTAAGCCCCCCGGCTCATGGCCTGCATGATTGTTTTTGTTCCCCAGGAACGCAAAGTACGCGGCCGTGAGATAAACAGAAACATCTGGGCGACACCGATTGCCACGTCAGTGAAGCAGAGAGATTGCGAGAAAGAGAATGGATGAGCTTGCGAGAAGGGCAAGCTCAAGAGATAGAGGAGGATTTAGGGATGGGAGGGACGAGGAGAGGTGCAGGAGAGAAGGGAAGGAGGATTAGCAAGTGGGATTCCCAGCGAGACTTACGCCAGCACCATTCTCGGGCCACGACGCAAAATTAAAACGTTGGGAGAGGGAATGAGACGCGGCCCCGAGCGGCCCACAATGAGGAGACGCAATTTGAAAGGATCTCCTCGTGGCCTCTCGTGCACCTCCCCCCCTCCCATACCTCTGGCTATGGAGCACAAACCCATTTAATTACATTCCTGCACAATTTATACATTCACTCCGCAAGACAAATGCACGGAGCCTGCTTTTTTGTCAAAAAAATCACCCCAAAAATTGTTAAATGTAAGATTGAAAAATGTGAAGAGAGAGAAAAAATGTCGAGCTAGCATCGATGTTTGGAAGGTAATTTATAAATGTTGCCCAGTTCGTGGTGTTTCAGAGACAAAATTTTACAGCAGACAGAAAGTATTGGTAATTTTATCCACAACAAAAGGGACGCAAAGTAAAATGATTCGTGACAGTGCTCCTGACGCAAGCAGCATGACGTCCCTTGGATGAACTGCCGCACCAATTCCGAATTAAGACGGCGTCACAGCAATGGATCCAATGTACAATTTTGTGCACATGTAACATTTTATTACAGTAATGCTATACACAAAAACATTTATCCTACGGTTCGGCCAACAGAGCCCTGAATGCACGAGGCGGCAGTCTGCCGTGAGGGTTTGAGAGAATATAGGATTTAAAAATAATACGTTCTGGTTCACACTTTGTCCCAAAACAGTTTCTTTAGCACCAATTGCGTGGGTTTTGTAAAAATAAAAGGATTACGTGGAGAGATAGATATATGAAGAAGGCGTATCATCTGCTTATCTGTTTCAGTTACTTATATCCTCCACAATGAGGCTTATGATTATCTTTGTGTATATATTAGTACATGCTCATTAATTTGTCCATTAATTTTCCTGAAATTCCCACACTTACCTTTCGCCAATATGTAACCGTGTAGAGCACTATTTCCATGGCGCACAATGCATCGCTAAACACCCAGATACGATCAAACGCACTCAAGCTGTGTGGCTGAAGAAGAGATGCATTTACGTTCTCCTTAGGAGCGCCATTCATCAGACGCACATGCTCCCGACATGAGGAGTGCACAAAAGCCTACCTCCACTTTTGCAAAGAGTGCTCGGTTTCAGTCCTTACAATACTCCCTCTCCTTCCACTCCTCCTGCTCCCACCAGGAGATTGCTGAGCCAACTCCGCCTTAAACCGATGCTTCAAGACACGAGTGCCATTGCACGTATGCACGTATGCACGTATGCACGTATGCACTATGCACAGGTGTAGCGGTTTATTGCCACTGCGCAAGAAAACCCGTCGACGCGGGTTCGATTCCCACTCTCGGTCAAGAGCAGTGAAGACTATACGAACCGGTCCTTGGCCTGACCTGGTGCTGGCCACCCACCCCTCCCTGTGCCGTGCCAGCCGTCATAGGTGTTCGCTAAACAGCACTTGCCCCCAAAAAGTCCGTTAAGGTTACACGGGGGAATGTTTGTCTTGTGTGGAACATGTGAGGGGCGTGCGCACACACGGCGCGTGCGTGACGTACGTACACGCATGTTGAACTTCTTCTGCGCCGTACGTAGCCAACCGTGCCAATGGGTATGCGCGCGCGATTTAATATCACCGCATTATTGCTATTTTAATTTTCGTTTGAACAACCTTAATTACAGCACGGCTCCATCCTCAACACAGCGGCAGCAGCAGCAGCGTCGGCTGGAGACGTTTACATTCCTCCAGCAGCTGTTGGCATGCAGAGCGTGGCGCGCCGCCTTCCAACATCAAAGTGTCCGTGCGCTCTGGCCCATAGTCACGTTTAAGGCCGATAACGCAAAACCGCCGATGCTGTCGCAAGGGGAATTCACTTGACGATTTGTTCATTCGTTTCTCTTTAAATGACTCAATTTGGAAGATTACGACTCGCTTCCCGTTAACTTCCACACGCCGCTCACTGGAAAAAGCACGGCCCATGGTGCAGGTGTGAACCATCCGATAAGTAGAAAATGCTTTGACGTCTCAACATCAATGCACTCACTCAATTCTATAATCAGCACATGAAATAAATGTGGCTTCAAAAACAGTGCAGGGCGAGGTGGTTAAAAGACAACTTATCCCAATGATCTCGGTGCTTATGAGCGGCTTTCATACTTCTCTGCCTCGACACTCTGTGCTGCAATCGGGGAATATTCATTGGCACTCGGCCTACAGAGTCGCAGACACAGCTTCGCAATAACCTTCTCCGTCGTGACGCACGCAACCGCTCGATCGAAATTACTGTGCCACGATTAAGATGATGAGTGTCATGTCAATACCAGAGCAGTGTGTTTTATAAGTCATATTGAATTCCCAAGATGACAATCAACAAAACTGAGCCAGGATAGTTTTGGAGAGTCTTGTTTGTATCTTTGAAGCACAATTATTCTGTGGAAGCAGGATATAAGCACATCTGATGTAAGCACAGTTCTGATGT